ACCCAGTGAGGCCCTTCTGATGTTCTTGTATAGGACCCAGATATATCTGTACCCTGCTGTAAACCTCCCAGAGCTGAGGTAGAGCCCAGGATTCCTCACAGTGTATATTTCTCTATTTGTGCAATCTGGCCACAAGATGTCAGAACATGTTGTTATTAGAGCTGAGTGGGTCTAACATTTATTTAATTTTCTTTCTTAGATCCAGTGCTCCTGTCAGCTAATTTCTAAGTTATCTGCCAGAAAACTAGAGGGTTCCAGTGCCTTAGTAGCCCTTGGAAAGCGGTGGGGTATGTGTGGGGGGAGGGGGAAGAGGAGTGGATGGGGTCGGTCCCACCCCCAATTTGCTGCTTGGCTTATACTGACCATGCTCAGTAACATTGCTGAACCTGCTGTCCTCTGTCTGCATCCCCATCCCGCCATCATGGCATGCATTCCCCCCACCCACATATACCACCAAAATTTGAAATGGCGCTCCTCATTGCTTCTTTGCTGAATCCTGTTCCTCATCCTGAGTAACATATTTCTGTGAAGGTAAGGAATGTGACAGCCTTCAACTGGGGCGTGAGTGATAGCAGAAAATAGTCATTATACTCATACAATTTTTTCCTTTACTGATCACTGTGAATCTATGATCAATGTTTGCTAGTAAGAGAGGGTTAAGGTGAAGCCTCACAACGGTGTGATGGGGAGTGGAGGGTGGAAGAAACTGAGCATTGCCAGCTGATGAAAAGGAATGTATGGTTGTAGAGGATGGGTTGCTGGACAAATAATTTTGTATGTGCCACAGGAGAAGTCGAGGTTCAGTCTCCTCACTCTGCAGTGTGATTAAACATTTAAGCATCTTGGTTGTCTCCTCCCTGACCACAATCATGCGATCAGTGGCATTTTTCCTAGCTTTCCTTTCACTTTGCCATTTCTCCTCACTTTTCTGTGCTTCCATAGTGCTGTAGTTCAGGACCTCCTTCACAAGTTTCTCCCTTTTTTCTTCTTGGTCTCCTTAGGTGACAGAGTCTGTCAGCAGGAGGTGATTTGCATTGTCAAAATCTCATTGCAAAGTAGAATGTAACAAAAGAGGGATTTTAACATTCCT